TATTCGAAAATTTCCAGAATTGTTTTCTCAATTATCAAATCCTTCCTAACATGTAGGTCAAGTCATCAGAAGTCCATAAGATAATGCTGGCATTCTTCGGGTTTCTCTTCTCGGGGCTACCTAATTTCTGCTTTATATTAATGATCTTCCTAAAAACTGGAAGCTCCGGAATTATGGTTCTACAGAAGGATACTGAGAATTCCGTGGACGGAATGAGTATGCAACGAGGAAGTTTTAAACAAAATGTCAACAAAAAGAAAAAAAAAGACACAGATGAAATTCCTTGGACACAAAATGAGGAAGGAGGGATTAGAAAACATAAACCACACAGGGCTCATTCAGGGTAAAAGAAATCGGGGAGGAGGGGACCGAGCCACCAACCCGACGTGCCCCTGTGAATGGATGGCGGAACGATGGGGTTAGTGGGTTTCGTGAGCATTTGCAAAAGAAGAATAACTGCTAAGGGCAACAATGGATAGGAAGCTTTGGAGAGCCATGATCGACCGTATCCTGAAAGGAAGTCCCACAAAGAAGAAGTCAGTTGAAAATATTGGCACTGGTACGTTTGACTGATAGCGAGTACCTGGTGCGATAGATAAATTGCCGTCCAAATTATGCAAAAATGAAAATCTTAACAGATATATTTACCAAAATTACACAAAGATATCTTGAAATAATAAAGTAAATGTATTCAATAAAATCGCCTTTGGTTTCACCCACGGCCTCCAGACGAAAACGGAAACTCTTGCAAATCTTCTGGACAGTCTCCTTATTTAAGTTGGTGCATGGCGCCATAATCCTTGCCTTCAGTTCATTTTTAGTGCCACGAGGGTTTTTTTTTTTTTTTTTTTTTTTGTAGCTAAACTGCACCCCACACATAATAATCATAGGGGATAGAGTCTGGGGAGTGAGTTGACCAGATGTAAGAGGTTATATGGTTGCAGAAATTGTCTGAAAGCCATGACTGTGTTCTCCTGCTTTTGTGGCACGGTGCAGAATTATTTTGCAGCCACCCTCTTGACCTAGAGAAGCACTACCTACTCAAGGCAATTGACGCAGTTCTCCATGTTGAGTCTGAGGCCATCACCCACAAATTCGGGAGTTCTTTTCTTATGAGAACGATCAAATTGAAATTTCCGAGAGCCAGTATCTTCGTAATCATCATTCAACTCATCAAACTCTTTCCGAATTCTTTACACTGTCCTCAGATCGACGCCCAAACCATCTAAAATGTTCACGTTAGATCTTCCGGCGCGAATGCCAAACAGTACAGCATGCGGTTTCCAAATTTCTGTCAGAGTGAATTATATCATGGTGCCCTTTTTCTCAGAGACGGTGCCCAACTGACCCTACTATGCTGTGCAGTTGACCAAAAAAAAAAAAAAAAATACGCGTACGTGAAATTAAAATATAAAATGGACACAATTTACCATCGCACTCTGCTTGTACATTTTTGATGGGTTAATATAACTTTCACTGATCATAAGTTAGAGAAGAAATGTTCTCGTTTATATCACCAATTCGTTTCGACAGAATAATCAAGATATTTGGCATATTTTTTCGAAGAAATCTTGCACCTGAATTTCCTGTTTATTGTTCATGTTTCACAAAGAAGATAGAGATTTACTATCATTTATGTATTTGGAGATTATAGGTAATCCTCTGAGAAAGCGAGTCTTATTTTGGGGAAAATATACTTAAACATTTGCTTGATAAATATTGAGGACTTCATCTGTATTGAATTGAAATCTACTGGTCAGGATATGAGCGTCGTTACTAAATAACCCTTGATACTGACGTTTGTCCCGTCTCCAACCTTTAGGAAGAAATCAAATTATGTAGTATTACTTTTGTGCAAGACTTTTAGCTGTGATTTCCGAACTGTGTCTATTGAATCGTTTTGTGGTCTATTTTCCCCTTATTTTGAATTCATAACTGTTTATTCTCAATTCTTTGTCACTTTTTTCGCTCCAACAAATAATCAAATCAATTCATCTTAAGCAATTTCTTTTTTACGAAAGGAGGAAAAGGGAAGTAAATGTTTGTAAAAAGAAATCCCAAGCCGAGAGGCTCCAAAGCGTTTGAAGTGTTGATTTTTCTTCGTTCGATTTTTCATATTTATCGAAGATATTCTATTTTATGCAATTTCATTCTTTTTTTTTTTTAATCTTTTCTTTTTTTCTTTCATTTGATTCGTTTCCATTGCTTGATTTTCTACATTATTTCCCCTTTTTCTTTTTCCCCTTTATTTTCAATGGCGTGGTTGTCTTTCCGCCTGACTCGCAATTCTTTATTTTTCTTCCTTGGAAGTAAAATGTGAATTCGATCTTCTTTACCCTTTTATTATTTTACATCTCATTTATCATATTTTTTCACAGCTTCCACTTTCAGTGGAAATTCGTTTTTTTTTTCTTTCATTCAAGAAACTCCTTCTGGAAATACTTCGTTCTTTGTTCGTATTTTTTCTGTTATACTAATTTAGCCCTTTTTTTTCATTTTTTTCCCTGTGAATTGATTTTTTTTCTTTTTGCCTTTCCACCATGATTTGTCTATTTTTTGTCTCTTCTAATCATTTTCAGATTTTCTTTTTTTTTATTCTTTCATTTTTATTCGTGCGTTTTTTATGTCAGGATTTTCTTCCTTTTCTCTACAGCTTCCGCTTTTTCCAGATTGTCTGTCTGCCTGTCTGTCAGTCTGTCTGTCTTTATTCATTCTTTCTTTCTTTCTTTCTTTCTTTCTTTCTTTCTTTAGATTTCTTTTCTTGTTTCGTTTTTCAGATTTTCCGTTCCTTCTTTGTACTTTTTCTTTAATTTTATTATTTTTCTACAACTATACATTTTTACTTTTACTTGTCTCTCATCGATTGCATGCTTTCTTTTATCATTTGCTTTTTCTCTGTTTTATTCATATTTTCCTTCTCTCTTTTTACTCTTGGTTTTTAATTTTTCATTTGTCTTTCTTCTTCTATTTCTTTCTTTAGCATTTGGCTTGGGTATTTCTCTTTTTTTTATTATTTTCCCCTCTCTTTCATTCATTATTTCTTGTGTTTCTATTCTTTGCATTGCCTTCTGCTTTCTTTGTATTTTACTTCTTCCTTTTTATTCTTGATTTATTTTTCATTTTTCTTTCCTAAATTTCCCTTCCTTCTTCTATTTCTGTCTTCAATGTTTTGCTTGTCGTATTTTTCTTTTTCTCTTTTTCTTTTTTCAGTTATACATTCCCTTTATTTTTCTTCACTTGGTTTTTGAATGTCTCTTCCCTTCTTTTATTTTTTCTTTTAATATTTATTTAAAGCTTTTCTTTTTTTTTCTATTTCTTTCCTATGATTTCTTATACTTTTGTAATGACAAAAGTAGGCAGGCGCAGGCTTCAAGAAAGCTTTGTTAAACTGAGAACACAAGGTTCGCGTTTAGCGTCCATTTATAGTCCCAATAAACAGAAATATCTCTTTCAAAGAGGAGAGTAGCGAAACAAGGGGGACCACTCTTGATTATTCATAAAAACTTTTACTTTAATTTTTTTTTTTATCTACTCTTACATTTATTACTATTTCATATTTTTTCTTCTTTTTCATTTTTTTAAAATTTTATTCTTTGCTTTCCCTTTCTTTTCCTTCATTATTTCTTATTTCTTTTTTCTTTTATTTTTATCCATCTTTTCTTTCATTCTGTTCTTTCCGCGTTCTTTCTTTTCTTTCTTTTGCCAATTCTTTATCTTTAATTCTTTTTATTATTCCTCCATCATGTGACTTCTTCATTACCTCCATATCACATTTATCTTTTTGTATCCTTCCTGCTACATTTTTCTGCCCCAGTTTCTTCTATACTTTAATTCATTTCTACAGCTTTGTAAGTAATTTTGTTTAGTATCTGTCTATTTATTATCTGTCTATATTTTGAATATGGCAATGAAGACGAGGATAACAGTCCGAATAATGTAAATGATAAAATTCTCTTTATTCTTATCTTCGTCAGTCTTTTTGCTTCCCATTTAACATTATCTACTTTTGTTCTCCTTTCATATTTCTACCTCAAGCTCTTTTGTTTTATAATTTTCTTCCTTGTCATTTTGCGAACATTTTCTTTTCCTTCTCTTTTATCGTTTACATTAGAGTTCCTTTTAATTAATTTTTTTTTTATCTTCTTTCATTCTTTTTCTTTGTATACATTGTTTTACCTCATTAACTTGTCTTTCCTTTTCATTCCCATTTTCTTTTACACTGTCTACTCTGTTTTTTATTTCATTTTCTTTTCCTACCACTTTTTCTTTTTTCTTTTCATTCCATTTTTATTTCTTATATTTTCAGTTTTTCTTTCATTTTTTTTCGTTTTCTTTTTTCCTGTATTATTTTAATTTGTTTCTCCTTTCTTTTAATGTTTCTTAAATTTGCTTTCCTTTTTTCTTTTTACTTTCCCCAATTCTTTTGCTGTATTCGCTTGTTACTTTCTTTTTACTTTTGTTGGCAGCTATAACATTACTGCATTTCTTTACCCGTCTTTTCCAGTATTTCTAAACTTCTTTCTTTCTTTCTTTCTTTCGTTTTCAAAGCTTGTCAATTACTTATGTACTTTTATTCGTATTTATTCTTTTTAATTTCCCTTTCTTTGCATTTTCCTCATATTTTTTTTTTTTTACTGATTATATTTAATTTTCGATATACATTTTTAATTCTTATATTTTTGGGTGAATTTTCTTTTTCCAAAACCCCGTTTCTGTTTATCATCGACATATTTTCTTAATACCGTGTTTGGTTTTCTGTTTTACATTTTTCTTGGACACAGTCGTACATATCGTGAAAATATCGCACGTATTTTTTTTATTTATTATTTAATTAAATTATTAATTCATTCTTCTTATATTTTTTTTCAGTTTCTTTTTTTTTTTTTCGTTTTCAGTTCTTTTTTTAGCGTCGCAGATTTGTCTGTTCTTAAAAGTTTGACTTCATTCAGTTATAGTTATTTATTGCACACTCAGTTTATTTACTTTTTATGTACTGATCAATGTTTTCTTTTCTTTCACCATTTCCTTCTTTTATTCTTATCTTTCGTTCTTTCATTTCTTTCTTTCTATCTCTCTTTCTTGCTATCTTTGCCCTTCTCCCTCATTACACTGTTTTTCTCATATTTCATATTTTAATTGTTTACATTTCATATTTCTCTCAAACATTCTATTCTGTCATAAGGTCATGCAGCCATTTTTCTTTATTTTTAAAACTCTCGGGATTATTTTACTACCCTAAATTCTATTCTTTCTTTCTTTCTTTTTTCTTGCTTCTTTTCTATTTTATCGTTCATGTTTCTTTCTTCCATTATTCTCTTTTCTTTCTTTGTTCTTCTATTCTTCTTTTCTCTTCTTTCTTTCTTACATTATTTTTTCCATTCTTTCTTCCTTTTTCCTTGCTTGCTTTCTTTCTTTTTTTATCCTTCTTTTCTTTCTTCTTTTTCTTCTTTCTTTCTTTTTTCTTTCTTTCTTCCGTTGTTTTGTTCTTTCTTTTTTCTCTCTCTTCTCTTCTTTATTTTTATCTTTCTTCCTATCTTTCCTACTATTATTTATTTCTTTCTTTCGTAATTATTTTTCCCTCCTTTCTTAATAATTTATCAGTTCTTTCCTTCACTCATTCTTTCTTTTCTTATTTCTTAATCATTTCATTTTAATTTGTTCGTAATTTAATATTTTCTTCTACTTTCTATTCGTCCTTCCTTTCTTTTTTATTTCATTCTTTCCCTCTTTTTCTTTCTTAACCATAAAACTATCTTTCATTATTATTTTAGTATTCATTCTTTATTTGTTTGTTTCTCATTTAATTTTACTTCTTCAATACTTTAATGTTTTTCAATCTTAGTTTTCAATCATTTAATTCTGCTTTCTTAATTATTTGTTATTTTCTTTCTTAATTGAATATTTTATTTATCTATTTTTTTTACTAATAATTTACTTTTTCTTTCTTTATAATTTAGGTATTTTCTTTCATTCTTCCTGTTTAATTTTAATCATTTATTTCATTCTTAATGATGTAATGTTTTCCATTTTCTGTATTTTTCATTCTCTCTTTTTATCATTTTTCTCAATTGTTGTCTTTTTCTTTCTTTATTTCTTTCTTTTTTTATTTCTTTCATTCTTTCTTCTTACATTTTAACCAATAAACGTTCATTCTAAATAATGTGTTTCATTTTTCTTTTTTTTCTATTTTCCTTCTTTCTTTTTAACATAGCTTCTTTATAATTCAATGACTTTCTTTGTTTCTTTGTACTTCATTTTTTAATCATTTAACGTTTCCTTTTATTAATTTAATATCTTCGTCTCTTACTTTCTTTATTCATGTCTTTCTTTCTTTAATCATTTAACTTACCTTTTAAATAATTTTACGTTTTTTCTTTTTCTTTCTTTTTTTCTTTCTTTCTTTTTCTTTCTTTATCTTTCTTTCTTCCTTTCTTTCTTTGTTCTTTCGTTCTTTTTTCTTTCTTTCATTTTTCTTTCTTTCGATTTTCTTACATTTTAACCATTTAACGTTCACTCTTATTAACTTAATGCTTTTCATTTTTCTTTTGTTTCATTTTTCATTCTCTCCTTTTTAACCTTCCTTCTTAATAATTTAATATTTTTTTCTTTTTCTTTTCTTTTTCATTTGATTTTTCCTTTATTTCTTTTTTAATCATTTAACTTCCCTTCTTAATAATTTAGTTTTTTTTTAATTTATATTTTAGTTATTTTTCTTCATGATTTAATATTTATTTATTCTTCGTTCTTTTCAATTCTTATTATTTTTATTCATTTTATATTCGTTATTTCGTTATCTTTTTTATTTGATTTTTTTTTATTTGTTTTGATTTTGTCCCTCTTTTTCACTCCCAGACGCTGTGTTTTATTAAATATAAAGAAAACCCCCAAATAATACTTTCTTCTCCTTTCCTATCTTGGAATGGAAGTGGGTCATGCCGTATATTTCTGTGGGCGACACTTGGGCTAGATGGCATAATTAAAATCAATACGTAAAGAGACACACGTCTTCCCGAATAGAAGAAAACCATATTTCTTTCTCGCTACGGGCAAGCAGAAATACCGGAGATATGTATAGTTTTCTTTCCTTATCGGGATATGAGAAAAATAGTCACGCACACATGCACACATATTTCGTGGTAGATACAGAGATTGAAGATAAAAAGAGAGAACAAACGCCGGAGATTATTTTCTCAGGATAATCTTATATACAGAATTACTTGCATACGCTTTTAACGTATATATTTTAATGAAAAATATTCTGTGTAGAAAATATAAATATATAACCACAAATAATAGCATATTCATATATATGCCATGAGTTCAATAGATTGTGGGTGTAATATCAGCTATATATAATGGGTGTAACAAAAAAATTGTCCAAATCGTATAACAGCAAAATTGTCCATTTGTGAGATCAAGCTCTGAACCGTTGTATTTTGAAATGAGTAAAGGTATCTTACTGGAATTCTGGAAGGTTTTTATAACACAATTGGACTCTACTTTGAGCCATAAGAATATATAATTACTCTCCAAGCTTAACAGAAGAATCTTGTTGAAATCAATCATAAACGAATATGACATGTTCATCATTAATTAATCATAGCTAAATGGAAGCTCAATCAAGGATTGATATAAATTTCAAATATATACATATCCCCGCCATATATATATATATATATATATATATATATATATAGATAGATAGATAGATGTAGATAACTATACTCGTTTCGAAAAACCTTCGAATGTTTGATTTGCCAATAATCAAATCAATCTCGAAGGAAAAAAAGGTTTTAAAAAAAGAAAGAGCTAGAAACATGAAAGTCTGTCGAAAAAAAATCGCACAGATACAGGTTTGAAGGCCAAAGAAAAAAACCAACACGAGTAAACAACTAGCTAAAAAGAGCTCAATACAACCGTAGAGAGACCTTAGATAAACCTAGGAGTTGACAAAACTACAGGTTTTACCTAAGCGGATCGTCAGGGAAACCTGGCTCTTTCCCCTGATGATCCGCTTAGGTGAAACCTACGTAGGTTTGTCTGGCTCACTAGGTTTATCTATCTATCTATCTATCTATATATATATATATATATATATATATATATATATATATATATATTCCAAGATTATTTTCCAACTTATTCAAGATGGTCTTCGTCTTCTATCCTTCTAATCTTCTGTCCTGGAGAAACAAGGTACCTCAGGTTTCATGTACGATTTCATTTTCAAGTCTTTTTTACTGCTCTTTGGACGATCATAGAAAAAACTCTCTCTCTCTCTCTCTCTCGCGTGGCAAACGTCCTACGGATTGAGTTGGATCTTTTCTAATTGATCTCTTTAGGCTGAAATGATGATCCCTATTACTGTTGTGACCTCCCGATCCAGTTTACCTCTCTACTGTTCCCTCATTTTTATACTTATTCACCATTCATTTGATGGTTCTTGAGTGAATTTTGAAGGTGGAAGCCAGAGTATGAATTTGTTAGCATTACTGAAGGCCTGATAATATTTTTCCTCTCGCCATTGCTCAATTGGGAAGACAGTGGAACTGACATAAAACAATTTTAAACTGTTCTCTTTCTCGCTGAATATCTCAAATGGTGTTTCATGATTCTTACGACAAATGGTTTCAAGATGTAAAACGTTGTATCTGTGGGATGCATAATTATGCTGTTACACAAATTGGACAATTTTCCTGTAACCCCCGTATATATATATATATATATATATATATATATAACTAATCCTCCAAATAATAAATACCACCACCCTCCCAGAGAACTAATCCAAAACACGGCCTGAATACACAAATATATTATATATAAAAATAAAAAAAAACAACCAAATTAAAACTAAAAGCTACCGTGATGATGACGGTTAACGAAAACCGAAAGCACTTAGTAAAATAACTTAAACCCAAATAGAAAGAAACAAAATCGAAAGAAAGATTACTAAACGGAAAGGTATCGTAGTCTTCAATAACACATACTTCAATCTATCTATCTATCTATCTATCTATCTATCTATCTATCTATCTATCTATCTATCTATCTCTTTATATATATATATATATATATATATATATATATATATATATATGAAGAAATATAGTCTTATGATGTGCTATATTTATGGAATAAAGTGCTCAATATCAGAGAAATCATTTTCCCCAAGCTAGGCAATAATGCCACTAAGACACAAGGAGTTACTGGGTGTGAGAGAATATGAGACAAAGAATATATTACTAAGCAGAGAGAACAATAAAAGAATAGAAGTTAATAAGATAACGATTGACCTTGCTTTAGAATTTTTGAAGATCAACGTTGATTGGAAAACAAGGAACTGGAAGAATGTTCCACAAGCGAGAAATGCGGGAGAGGGAACTATTAGCATAGGACTTACGGTTACATCTAGCCGTTTCAACTGTAATATGCTGGTAATCTAGTAGTACATTTAAATTCATAAAGTCTAGTTACCGAAGAGGAAAGCTCATTAGAACAATTACCATTAAAATATTCATAGAAATAGGTACAGGAAATCTACGACGCGACGTGGGAAAAATGACTAAAGCCGAGATACCAGGTCTGGACGAGTAACATTGCAGATTATTCTTTTTCTTTCATCGAGAATCTCAACATACAAAGTAGAATCACTCGGCCAGATGAGACGGCAATATTCGATGCATGGTAAAATGGTAGATTCATAAATGTTTAAAATCGATTCTGGAGAGAAAAATTGTCTGCTCCGACACAATGAACCAAATTTCTAGCAGCAGAGATAGCAATTGATTCAATATCATCTTTATACATCCTGTCAGCGGGAAGCATAAAAGCCCGGGAAGTTACAATGGATCAGTTTTCTGGAAATTAACATGAGCATTACTGATGGAAGTTAAAAATGATTCTCTTAGACGATTAAAAGATAGTAGTTTTGTTCAGGTGGTATTAAAAATTAATCAGTTATTTATTGCCCTAGTTAACAACAGATTATATGTCAACTATGAGATCAGTTGCCAGTTTCACATCATCGAACCGATAATATACATACATACAAATGGTTAAATAATTTAGATGTGTTATTAAAACTACCCTATTTAGTGTAGTTTTAATTAGATTCAATCCTTTCAATTCCACGACATTTTTTAATCTTTAAAAAAAATCACATAATTTACTTCCCTTGCATATATGTAAAAAAAATATTTTGAATTAAAGGTTTTAACACATATCACATCCCCAGATATGCATCCCCAGATGAGATTGAAAGTACTTGGGGAAAATAAAAATTATTTGAAAGAAAAGTTTGGAACTGTTCATAATCAATTTTCTACAACTGCCAAGAAATTAATTGTAGGCTTCTGACGGATTAAAACCAAAATAAATAGACATAATACGCCTAAAATATATATATATATATATATATATATATATATATATATATATATATATATATATTCATACACGTTTCATTAAATAATATAGACAAGTGTTGTCTATTTATTTTATGTAAATTTTTTCGTAACATCTGATAAGTTTAATAACATTATCGTTGAACGAAGAAAGAAATTCGCAATATTGATCCATATTTTTTATTTAATACAATCTAAGCTTTCAGCTTACATGAGCCATTATCAAAGATGTCAATTGCAACATAATA